ATATATATATATATATATATATATATATATATATATATAGAGAGAGAGAGAGAGAGAGAGAGAGAGCTAGGTTCATGTATGGATGGACAATTATTGTGTGGATGTAAGGATTAATATGGATCAACCATTTCAAAAACCTACACAAGGTAATTTTGTAATCTTAGTTTTTAATTATTTATGGTAAATTATAAAATTAATTAATATCCTTTTATATAGGAAATAAGTTTTAATTCATGCCTAATTCATCTTTATTAACCCTACCTTAACCACAAAAAAGATAGGAGGATCCCATTTGTCGGACATCACCATCGTCGACCCACCATCGCCACTCAACACCATCAACCATTATCACTTTTGCAGCCGCCACCACTACCTAACCTAATTCGATTTCACAACCACACCTGTTTTGTGAGGATTAAATTCTCTGTCCCTGATTTGATGCTTCTCAATATCAGTTATTGAAAAGCGAATGCAAGTGTGCTATGTGTGATTGCGATTAAAAGATGGGATGGGAAAGACAACAACGATCCACAACATTCAACTTCAATCGGCACAATACAATATTCAGATTTTAAAAGGTTTCCTCACAAATTCTTGCATTGGACTCTAAGTTTCTACATTCTGAGTTTAATTTAGGTAAGAAATAAGTCGATATTTTTCTGATTTTTATTTGTTCTAATTACAATCATGCCTACACGATTTTTAAATCATTTCATCTTATTTTTTGATGTGAATCTTTTGGCCGAAAAACACTTGATGATATGAATTGCATTTTTATTTTCGACAAAGGTAAAAAAGATATTAGGGTTTTAGATGGAATGATGACGACGGATTTCAAAAAGGGATGGCAGATCCTATTTTACATTTTTATCTCTTTATCCTATTTATACATGAAATTTACGTTCTTTTCCACAATGCTTTCAACTTTTTTGATTTTTAAATTCGTTCATTTTTACGAGCATGATTATGTATTTGTTTAGGGTAAATTACACGGTTCGTCACATGCCAGAAAGCGTGTTTAGTCTCTATTTTCAAAAATTAACTCGGACCGTCCCTCTATTTGTTTTTCCTTACACGCTTAGTCCCTATTGACATGAAATGCATTTTTTACCCTTAATAATTTATTTTTTTCATTTTATTTTGTTTTTTTATCAGTTTTAAATTAAAAATAATATATATATATATATATATATATATATATATATATATATATATATATATATATATATATATATATCCCTACCCATCTATTTTCAGTTCCCCATCTCAAGATTTTCCATAAACCACCACATATAACCGCCAACACCTCCGACATCGCCACCTACCGCCAACACCTCCGACACCACCGCTTATCACCGCCAGCACCTCTGCACCACCACCTACCATCCCACCATCTCAGTGGGTCCCTCCACCTTCGATACTCTCCTTCTTTTCTCCCTCTGTTTCCTTCTTTTATTCCGTCACCACCACCTCGTACCTATTCCGACAATACCACCATATACCTATTCCGACGCCACCAATCACCTCTAGACCACAATCCATTAATATATCTTACATTTTATTTGAAACCCTCTCAGATTCGAACCTAGAGCTTCGTTGAATATGGTGGTCTGGTAGCTTCACATGAGTTCTGGCCCTAGAGCTCCAGTAAACGCATACATATCAAAATTGGTGCTAAGCTCCACAACATAAATTCCGAAATTGAAATCAATGATGAGAGAAAGAAATAGAAAACCACCCCTGCATCTTTATGAGTTTGAAGTCTGGGAATTGATAAAACAAACAGAAAATAAAGAAAGAAACTAGCGTTTAGATTTTATCATATCTGAAAGATCTCCACTTGGTGCCGATTTGAACAAATTTAAAATGGTCTTCAGCTCCTCTTCCCTCTGTAACCATGTCGCCGGAGATAATGGCTACCTCTGCCTCCGATTCGAACAAAGAAGAAAGAAAGAGTCTGAAAATTTTTGATTGAGACCGGAGAAGAAAGAGAAAGCGATCGACGGTTCTTCATTTGGGGTGTCTTGATGCTCGCCGGAAGAGATGAAATCGTTGAGGCGATGTTCCTCGGCAAAAGATGAATCCGATGAAGTGATGGTGGGGTTTAGTAACCTGGAAACGAAGGAGGTAGAAGGAATGTAGAAGGAAAGGGGGAAAGGGAACAGGGAGGTTGGGTTAGGGTATTTAATTTTTTTTCTTTTTTTTTAATATAAAATAATTTATGATTAATGTAATAATAAAATATTAAGGGCAATATAGTCATTTTATAGTTGGAAAGGGATACAACGTGCAAATTTAAATTAATGAGGGATGAAGCGTGCATGCTTTAAAATAATAAGGGACGGTCCGAGTTAATTTTTGAAAATAGGGACTAAACACGCTTTCTGGCATGTGCACGAGGGACGAATGGTGTAATTTACCCATTTGTTTATTACCTGGCGCAGATTGAACACCATTCCCATATCTTTTTTATTTACTTAATAACTTTTAGAAATGGTAGTATCCATTACTTAAATAAAATGTGCAGTTTTGCCATTCTAGGATTATTGCAATAGATTTTTTATTTTTATTTTTGTTATAATCATGATAATCCATATATGTATAACTCAAGCATAATATGTGTTCTTGGAAATTTGTCAATTCTACTAGAATCATTCTTTTAGAATGCACTATCTGTATTATTTGTTAGATTTATAAAAAGTCTGAAAGAATTGAAGTGGATAAAATTCTTGTATTACATAGTTTTTTTTTGTAGTGGTGCTTGTATATAAAATGTTCATTCAACATATAGTTATTTGAATCAATTTCATAACCATAGTTTGAATTCTGATAGCATTCTCACATAATTTTATTTTTACATAATTCGATTTCATGACAGTTATTCTCATAGAATACGTTAAGGGAACATGATGATCACAGGCTGAAGGTTGGATGATAGTGTGTGGGATGGAGACGAATAATGATCACCGATCTTGCAAAAAGAACACATTATTTGTGGTTATATTCTCGCAGACTAATTTACAATAGAATGATAAAACTATATGTAATAGTATATTCTGGTAGAATAATCTATATATTGTGTTTTTTGTTATTAGCGAGTGTAAGATTATCATAGAATAGTACATAAAGTTTTTTATTTTCTAAGAATGTTATGAAAAAATTTAACTTGTATCCAAAAATTTATTATTCTTCAAGAAATTCATTCAATGAAAATATATATTCTGTCAGAATATGTATTCTTCTATGGTTCAAGAATTTTTTATTTTTTAATATATCTATAAACATATTCTGTCAGAATGTTCGAATTAAGAGAATTATCATCCTAAAATAAGATTTTTAAAATTAATAAAATCTATTATCTCTTAAAATCCGCAATTTTCCTTTTTTAAACCTTGTTTAATTGACTAAAATGCCCTTACAATGAGATTTATGTGATTATTCTATTTTCTTTAATTTATTAATATAGGAAAACGACTTTCTTAAAATAACAAAAACCATTGGTCCACATTCATCCATACATCCATACAATATATAACATACATATTATAACCTAGTCCTATATATATATATATATATATATATATATATATATATATATATATATATATATATATATATATAAATCTTGAAAATGAAGGAATCTTAGGGAAAATGTAACGTAACCATCAATTTCTTGTTAAAATCCTATGACTGATTACCAGCAAACCAGATTTAGAAATTAATTAGACAAATTAACAAGGACAAACAAATTCCAAGTTTATAACAACAGGATAGCAATTTGAAAAAATATTTACCAAAATTGTATTCTAAAATATATTTACTAAAATATAGTAAAAACAAAAAAGATAATTGTTTTTACTAAAAATAGATAAATAACAAAAGGACCTACATTTCTAATGGCGACGCTCCTCCACCATCCACTCCTGCCCACCTGCACTCTCCTCCCCAGGAAGTCAAACTCCATGCTCTTCCTACCAGCCGGTCCAAATCTATATGGGTTCAGCGGCTATTTCACCGACTTAAAAAAGAATTGCTCCTTGTTACTACGATTGAAGGTCGCCAGCAAAGGTGATGGATCTCTTCCTTAAACCGTTTGTGAGAAATTGCAAGATCCCATCATGTACTGTTGTAAACTCATTGAGAAAAAGATAATAAAACTACTATGGGCCTTATTTCCATCTCTGATTATGTCATCTCCAACATCTTCTTTCCATCTCTGATGATGACATCTCCATTCTCCAATGTACTAATGTAAATTTAAACTCTTAGAAACCCAACAATTTCCGGCGATCATGGAATCTCCAACGTCTTCCGTTCATCTCCTTCAGTCGCACCTGGTTCATTCCCACATAAACAGGTCATTGGATTTCAACACACATGTTTCTGGGTGTGTTTTGAATGATTTTTTTGTACAAACGAGTTTATGTGTGTTTAAATCCGGCTAGGTAGAGTTGTCCAAGAACTAGAGATTGTGAGTCGAATATGAACCGTGAAGATGGATCGTCATATCACTTGGGTATTTCACATATAAATTTTTCTTTCTGTGCTTCCTGCAGCTTAACGAAAAAACTGATCGTCAGCAATCAAAAGAGACGACGAGGAGGGAACACAAAGAGGGAACCGGAAGAAAGAAGATAGAAGCAGGACTGGTGGGCCTATTTTAGTTTATTTAATCATTTTGATATAAAAATTATGTATTTTACTATTATTTGGTAAATAGTTTTGAAACTACTATCTATTGGTAAATATTTTTTCCAGTAACTATGTTTTGATAAAAAGCTCAACAAATTCCCACGTCAAAGTGTAGCATAGGATAAACCAATCAATACTACTCCATAATTGAGTCCATATATCTACAACATTACCAATGAAATTCAACATAAACATGAAGAGAGAACCTAATTAATGCAAAATGAGAATCAAAGGATACCAATTTCTTCAAAAAGGCCCCAAAGAAGTAAATGTCAACTTAATCATCATTAAAAAAATACCCTAGAAAGCTTGTTCTAGTACCATATAGTCCAGTCAATTTCAATGTTTGTATAAAATACAACGGTAGGTGACTAGGTGTCTTTTACATACACCCATATACGAAAATATGTATACAACACTTGAAACTTGTGGAACATCACACAATAACTATAGTTCAATAACATGAACACAAGTAGTTTATTTCGCGACACCTAAGTCACAAAAAAAAAAGATAAAAACCAACAGCTTCCACAATAGGAAACAATTAGAATTAGTTGACAATTTGCTTGAATTTGGCAATGCAATCCAAAGCACGATCAAAATCAAAGTCTTCTAGGGCTAATGTGAACCTGCAATAGCCTGGGATCCCGGTCCATGAAGCTCCATTGATGCATAAACCTGTGGTTCTCAGCATTGCTTCTCGGATGTTGGTGTCATTCAGCTTCACTTCCCATGTTGAACCATCTTTCTTGATTTTAATGGTTTTGCCAAGATAAGCCGAGGGTTTTGCAATTACGGAAACGCCCCCGTGAGCTTCAATGACTTCCCACCCGCAACTCTCGAGTGTCTTTTTCATGTACGTGCAAAACAAGCAAAGAATAGATGATTTTTGTCCGGAGTAAAGGTTGTGTACGCAAAGACTTTCTTTTTTGGACTGAATAAACTGTCTGAATGTGAGTAAATCATTTTGCTAAATTAAAAAATTTTACCTGTTTCAAACGCTTCAATCGATCAGCCAGCAATTTCCCCTGTTTCTCACCATCACCCGTTAGATCTCCATTTTGCTCTCTAAGATCCAGCAATTTCTTGGCAGTGTAGCGAATAGTACTATGAGGTTTATTCAACCCCGAGAATCCATAACACGCATCCGCCAAAAACCTCTGATTCAAAACTAGAAACCCGGAAGCAAGCCCTCCAGTTGGCATTTTAAAAAACAACCCACCAAGCAAACACACACAAAAAGACGAGCTTCCCTTTAACTCCACCAAACTTCCATCCAAATTCCACCCTTCCCAACCCTTCAAATTAAACTCCACCCCCGAAAACGAAGTATCAATAATCACCCTCGCCCCATATTTAGCACAAATTTTCAACAAACTTTTCATTTCTTCATTGCTATAAAGTAACCCAGTCGGATTTATCGTGGGACCGGAAATGTAAACCCATGGTTTCGTGACAGTTTCGAGTGCTTTACCAAGTTGGTTTTCGGTCAGTTTAAAACCGGTTTCCGGGCAGGTCGGGATGGAGACAATGTTTGCGTTTAAGAACCGGGCAGCTGCGGTGTAAGTTCCGTTTGATCCGGTGGGTATGCAGAGGGTTCCGTGTTCTTCGATGCAGCAGAGTACGAGTTTATTGAAAAGAGCGAGAGGGAAATCGGCGTATATGAATTCAGCGGTGTGATCGGCTGAGAAACCGTAAGCGGTTTTGATGAACTGTTTGATGCTTGGTGTTACATCGCATTCGGATTCGGTTACGTTTTGCCTTGCAAAGCTTTCAAAGATGGCAGCTTTGACTGGGGTTGGTGTAGGGAGGAATATTTGGTCCACGTCCATGTGGATTAGAGAAGATGTATCGGTTTCTTTGATTGATAATTCTGCGTCTGTTAGAACTGAGATTGCAGAACTTGAGAATCCGATCATGTCGCTAGATTTTGTGTTTTCGGTTTCTCTCTGAAAAAAAGAAGAAAATAAAGAGTGAGTGACATCTGACATGAACCCAATGTAGAAGTTAGGTCAAAGATACTACAACTGAAAAACAGATTGAGATTATAGATTTCATGTATTAGCAAACCTCTGTAGGTGGACGTCTGTCAGGAAGCTTAAAGGACAGAAGCTCATTGAAAAGACAACCATAATAATATTGGCTAATCAGAGCAGTATTGCCTTGTAATAGTTCCACGCTTTTTGACAATCCATCAAAAATGGTTTCTTCTTCGGATATCACAAAAGCTACTTCAAGATCTGCATAAACCTGGAAAAAGAATAATAAACCTATGATGATTAGAGATCATAATGAAGATAAACTAACTTAAAGTAAATTCAAGAGCTTTTCGATTGTTGAAAACTGCCTACAAAATGGATGTTTACAAACTATGATGTTTATACTCGCACCCTCGTCTACTTCAGCAAAGATCGTGGGGCTAAAAAGGTCTTTTTGGTGATTAAAGTATAAAACATACCTGATTTCTCAACAAGCCGCATATAATGGCTGCATGAGAAGGCAATGGAGTTCTAGCAAGATATTTCAAGACTCCAATTGAACTGGGGAGACTGGAAAGCTCAAACTGGTCAGATATGTCTATAAAAAGACGAGAACCGATTTCTCTTGTGGTGCGTAAAAGATGCTCAAAGGCTGAACTAGTAACAGCCTCAAATTGTGCAATCCCTGTCACCACCACTTGTGGCCTTAACTTTTTTATCAGCTCAATCATCAAATCCGACTGACGTGGCGCTTCAATAACAGTGATTCCATCTGTACAAGTTTTCTTGTCCCCTTTTTGCTATAAACAAAGAAAATATTAGGTATACATTTCAAATGAAGTGGGCAAGTTCATGAATTACCTTACCTCAATTTCTAATGATGTTAACCATTGCTTTGGTAGGTGTCGGGTTAGATGCTCATCAACAATGGCAAGACGTGGAGTGAACAGTCGAAGGGTATTCTCAATAGCTGTAGCCCTTGAAGGAAATATAGCAACATTCTTGCAGAATAATCAAGGATAAGCAAATCAGAAAATGCAACTTCCTTGTTACATATTTACATAAGACTGTTGTAAGATAAGTTATTAAGAGAAGTCTGCTTACATCAGCACTAATTGGTACATGGTGGTATGTTTTCATGAAGCCTGCAATAAGATCTCTGAACCTTTTGCTTCCAGTTGGAGGCTCATATGGGAAACGTGAGCTGTTTTTTAAAATACCAGCAAGATATGCTAGAAATGGGATCTTCTCATCAGCAACAGACTCGTCTTGAAAAGATAAATCCAAGGAATTGCTGATATCTTGAAACCCATTTTTGAGAAAGTCAAAGATTTTCTTAACCTGTTGATTTGTTTGTTCAGTATTTACCCAATTATTTAGTAACCAGAAACAATAACTTTGTGCTTTTAGACTCCATTGGTTATACAAGACAAGACAAGATTTCTAGGGCTATTTTCAATGATGAGGGCATTTAGGTATTTTGCATAGATGAGAGATAGAGAGTCAGTCCCTCTCCCATCTTTTGGGTGGGACAAACGACATTGGTCTCTGTCCAGTTCAGTGCACGCCAAACACACAGTACAACTTGTCCTGTCCTGTTGTCCACAACAGGACAAAACAAGAAGACATTGTACTGCATTTGGCATGCATTGAACTGAGACTGATGTCAACCGGACAAAATTGCAACTTTTTGTCCGACTCAAAAAGCTGGGACAGGGACTCGCTCTCAATCTCTCGTATGTGCAAAAGACGAGAATGCCCTCCTCATCTCCATCATCGAAAACAACCCTAGAAAGCCTGTCATGTCCCGTGTAATAGTAAATACCTGGTTGGGATTTCGAAGTTGACAGCTGTAAACAGACAAAGCATGAGAAATGCGTCCACCAGCCTTTCCAAAGGCCCATGCTGTCCTAGCACAAATTGGCTGATCTCCAACAAGTCCCATGAAGAACTCAAACCTGTGTGGATTATTCTTCTCAATTTCAACTAAAGCCGAAATGTCAGTGTCAGAAGCCTGAAGAATTTTGGTTTGCCACAGCTGGTTAACGCGGAGCCCACGGCGTTCAAATAAACGTTTACAGACACCTTGTCCTGGACGCCCTCCCATATTAAATATCATGATTCCCATAGGCTTGATCACATCAATTCCTTCTTCAACTGCCCTAGCAATAAGACCTAAACCAAATTGATCCTCAACAAATCCCTGCATATAAAATGGTATCCAAAATGAAATGATTTGAAGGAAAATTTATAAAGTAGTTATTGGTAAGTATGGTGGCTCCACTTACCTGAAGTGCACAATAGTTACTCAGTGAATGGAGAAACTCTTCACTAGCATTTTCTGTAATAAGCTTGGACATTGCATCGGGATTCGGATTAAGAATCTAGAACACAATTAGGGTGAAATCAATATGGGAAACATGAGGATAATATAGATATATAATCATCAAGACATATCAAATGATTGATGAGGACTTGATACCTGTGGTATGCATCCGACAATTCGTTCAAGCTCTATGTGGTTATCTCTGCAATATGATAATAGATCAGATTCATAAAACTCTACCCTGTCAAGCAAAGTTTTCTTCTCATGGTCATAAACGAGCTCTCCATTTTCATCCAAAGCATTTAGATACAAATTTATCCATGAAATCTTTACAGCTCTTGGATTTATATCAAGCCCATAAACCTACAAGACATTATGTAGAAGAAAATGAGAAATCACAGGGAAATTTTGAACTATATAGTTTGATTAAAAGACATGCTTTCATTTTTTGACTGTTGTAAAAGGCTAATTATAATAAGTGATGGAAATAAGACATTAGTTCATTGTTCACATAGATTCTTACTAAAATCAACATCAAAATAGATAGGAATAAAGTTGAGGGACAAGAATAATCATGACCTTCAATGGTGACCATTTCTCAGCAATGGCTATGGATATCCATCCATTTCCACAACCAAGCTCAGCAACTGTCTTATCCTTGAAGATGGAATCTGGATGTCTATTCAACCCTTCATAGAAAGTAAATGACCAGTCCTCTGGCATAAAGATGCTGGGTATCACCATCATTGTTAATTTCTTTTTCTTTTGGTAACCTGTATCAGGATCATAAGGCCAAGCAACATTTTAGTCAAAGTTTGCATAAAACACTGCCTATTAACAAAGATAACGTTAACAACTGCTTTTACACCATAACAAGAGTATTCCCAGAACACTGATGACTACAATTGATCAGTCTCTAAAGGCCTATCTTAGTTTGTGAACAACTGATGAATATATATAGATGTTGTCGAATCAAGTACAAGATAAGGGATAAAATTTTGGGGGTAATATATATTATAAAGCCGATAAATGGAAAAATCTCACTCTGAATGGTCTATATATCCCTACCTAGACTATTAATCACAACTTAATGATAGGGATATATGAAGTTTAACATGGGGCAAATAGTGAAGATAGGTTTTAGTGAGTAGGAAGAAGAAGTAAGACACAGATTCGTACAGCTGAAGTAATCGTTTGACCATTCTCCCTAGTTCAGGCAGGATTAACCTCATAATCTATATGAATTTCACCTTTTATCTATTTCGAGAAGTTTGGAATCAAACTCTTTCTATATTTAGTGGATAGTTACTATTACTGCCACTCTTTTTTTATCGTAATTATCTAAAAAAATAGCTATACAGACAAAAATACAAAAGAATTGCTGTTCAAACAACATCATCATTGCAATTTGAAAATGAAAGGGCTGATTACAGAGTGTATTCGGAACACACACACATGCACTTAAAACAATCACAATCAAGTAAAAAATTAGTGGGGAGCAATGTGCAAAAACATTTAGATAGATAGAGAATTTAAGGACCTTCATTCCGTTCGAGGAATATATCTTGGATTTGGAAATGGTAAGTATCGAGGCAATGTTCTGAGGCGCCATCGGTTTCGAGCTTTTTCTGGAGATGCGTGAAGAAGATCCTGGCTTCGGTTCGGGTATCCGGGTTCTCGAGGCGCTCCAAGAGTGATCTTAATGCACTGTAGGCAGAGTCACCTGACTGTGAGCACTGCTTTAAGAACTCATCTACCGATCCATACAAGCCCTTCACTGCAGCCATTGATGGCGATCGAATCGGGTGATGAGTGTTAGCGGAGAATACGTGCGTTTTTCTTTTGTGGGATAGAGAGAGAAAGAAAGACTTTGTCACACAGTGTGGGACTGGGAGAGAGCGATGGGGGATGTTCGCGGGATTTTAATATAAAAGGTGTGGTGATGACTTCATCCGTAAATTAAACTTACGCCCCTTTAACTTTGAAAAATTAAAATCCAGACCCCTTCCTTTGATGTTGTTTGCTTTTCTTTTAAACTAGAACTTGTCCCCTCCCTGTATCGCGGGGGATGTATCGCGGGGGACGTAGACGAGGTTTTGCTTACTTTTTTATAGTCATACAAAAGAAAAGTATTACGATTCATCATTTTATCGTTTGGTGTACACTAGGGATGGGCATTTGGACCGGGGAACCGGCCGGAACCGGAACCGGATAGAACCGATCGGACCGGGACCGGGCCGATATTCTTGTGGAATTTTGGAACCGGGAACCGATAGAACCAGCAAAAACCGGAACTGTATGTTGTTATTTCTCGAGGACCGGTTCCAACATTGAAGACACGGCAAGAACCTGTAGAACCGGCGGTCCGGTTCGGTTTCTATTTTCCACCAAGTTCGGTTCACGGGCCGGTTCCGATGCTCATCCCTAGTGTACACGGCTTTCGGGGGACCAAACTTATCGATATACGAAAGTATAGGACCAAACCTGCAAACATAGCAATATACAGAGGTTGAAGGGTGGAAATTGTTGTTGTTCAAATTTGACGGGGTAAAAATGACATTTTACAAAACAAATAGATGGAAACTATCACTCTATAAAGTAAGGAGTAGAAAGTGTCATTCTACAAAATAAAGAGTGGACCGTATATAAAAATGTAGGAACCAAATCTACCAACATAAAAAATTTGTAGCCAAAATACGAAATAAGAAAGTAGATTTATGGCCAGATTTCAAAATAAAAAACTTCTATGCCAATTTATGAAAACAGGAAACTATATTATTTATAAAGGATTGGTTTTTATTATATATAATAATAATCATCCTCAATAAATAAGAATCTTATTGTCACATGTCATTCTCTCCTTCAATTTTACAAATGTCAATTTGTGGTAATTTAGAGATATTTATACTCTTCTATTATATATATATATATATATATATATATATATATATATATATATATATATATATATATAGGTAAATTTAAACATTTTAAATTTAAGTGTTCTTTATTAATTCAAATTAAACATTCAAGGATGCAATGTTAATAATTAATATTAGTTTAGTATTCTAATTTATAATCTCTATTATAAACAATAATTAAAATAATTATCTAAAATTAAAAAAATATTTAGGTTTGATTCTTGTAAAAACAAGTTAGCTAGGAAACTTGTTGAGCAAGTTAGAGTTCCAAACGAGCCAAATCACCAGGAGCGCACCATACCTGTCGATGCTCCAGGTTTAATTTCGATTTTAGTTTGGGGTTATGGTCATTAAACCTCAGCTTAGGTCACAAACAATACAAAAAGTGGCCATGTAAAACAAAAATTAAAAAATTCACACCCTAAAACCCTAAAATCGAAAAACCCTAGCTACAAACAAGATTTAATTCAGATCAGTTTGGATTAAGTAGTGCAAGTAATCATCAACTAAGACTCTAATACCACTGATAAGTTTTATACATATTAACACACGATTATGTGCAACGAAAACATACAACAATTCCTATGTGTTCATGCAACCTATAAGGATCTAACTTATTTATATTATTGCAACTACAAAAGTAATAACAATTACATACCTCTTTAGAAGCTAGAGATCTCCTTACTTGAGATTGCGTTCTTTCCGCCTTTGCTTGGATAAGAGGACACGAAGTAGAATCCCTCTAATGGTACCACACCCAAGAACACCAAGAGAGCATACCAAGAAAACTAAGAGAGAGGATGGAAAAAATTGAAAACTAAAAACCATAAAGGGTTTATTTTTCATTCATCTTTAGGAGAGGAAGATAGAGAACGAAATTTCTAGCAAGGAATGAGCATCTAGGGTTTGACCCCCATCTCCTTATTTATCGGCTTTAGTTGCTTAGTCCCAAAAAATCTCCAAAACCCTAATATGGATTATCTGATTTTGTTCAACCCTATCCCTTGGGGTTCTGTAATGTTCCAATTAATTAAACCTTTTAATAAGTTAAAACTCAATCATTTTAGTTAATTAACTCCCAATTAATTCCAAAATAGTTTCTAATTAATTTATCAAAACATGACAAGTTAATAATTTCTCCAATATTCTTTTGGTCTTTTAATTTCTCAAATGGGTCGTGAGGTCAATCCAAAAGGACCCTATTATTATTAGAAATATTAGCAATAGTTAATAACCGTGGACATTATTTCCAATAAGAGTGGGAAAAACATTCAATTATGGAATAATATGTGGCTTTGAGATCAAAAATTGTCTACTTGTTTTCCTCGTCTTTTTTGCCTGGAGCTGGCTTAGAAATGTGTTATCCTAGATAGAAAGTTGGTTGATGATTGGAAGTGGTGTTGGCGTCAGATTATTAGAGGAGGGGTGGATAAGTTGATATGACTGGTCAATCTTGTCTAAATTCGTAGTTTGAGAATACTTCTCATGGACAAAAAGAAAGATCATGCCTTAGATAAAGTTCTTCCTGATATTCTTCCAGCCACTACGTTCTAAACTGTAAGAAAGAGCAGTGATCAAGTGTACATTGTATACTGACATATTGAAGTGAAATGGAATTTTATTAAGTTAGGAGTTGAGTATGGTTATCATAATGATATGAAAAACTTTGAAATGTCTATGAATGAGTTGCATGACATGTTGAGGGCTTTTGGAACTAAGATGGCCATTCATAGAAACTTTAGCTTCAGATACTCTTACTTTTGCTATCATGAATGGAAGTGTTAAGAATAAGAAATACAATTACCCATAAGTAAAGGCGGTTAGAGTTGGCATACCTAAATCTAGTATACCTAATTCCAGAACCAAACTCCAAGGAAAAAAGAAAGGCTTATTCCAAGACATGTTCTGATAAGATATTTGATTCCATAAAGAATACATGCTTATCATATATGAAAAGGCTGAAAAGCTTCATGTCAAGGAGTATGGCACAGTCAGATATATGAATTTAAAATACCATTGGAACATTACTTCTTATCCTTAAGTATTTTAATAAGGATAAAGTACTTAACATTACAAGAATGTGTAGTGACTAAAGGGAAGTTAAAGATTAAAACATGGAGAAGAGAATTTGATCATGGATAACGAGCCCTTATTGTTATTCATAGGATCAAAAGACAACTCATCCTCCCTAAATTTTTAGTCTATGGCACATAATTTTATCATGGATAACGAGCCCATGCTACTATTAATAGGATAAAAAAAACAACTAGTTCTTCCAAACGGTGAGTCTACAGTCAGATATATGAATTCAAAACACCATTGGCATATTAATTCTAACCCTTGAGTATTTTAGACATTTTCAAGAATGTGCACTAACTAAAAGGAGGTAAGAAGATTAAAACATGGAGAAGAGAATTTGATCATGAATATCAAGTGTAACGCCCATAGATCCGGGCTAGTCAATTTAGAGATAATAGGGGTCGAAAACGACTTTTCGACAAAAGATTATTTAGAATAAATAATCTTAACCAAGTTGTAGAATATGTCTCAAGGGTTCCATACATATAAAGAACGTCGAAATCCGAGTTATAACGAAGAAGTTATGGCTCGTCGAAGTTTTTCGGCAAAACCGGCACGACACCGGGAGACGTAGATTGTGAATTTATGATAGAGGACTTTTTAGCCTTAGTGATCTAAACAAAAGTTGTAGTATATGTTAAACCGAGAACATACAAAAAAAAAAAGAACGCCCAAATCTGACTTCATATGAGGAAGTTATGAATTTTCTAAGATTTGACATAGCAGTACACGGCCCGAAACTCGAATTTTAATTCGAGCGGTTTTTGGCCTATGCAACCTAAATGAGAATTGAATATCTCATTAATAGGAACTCAACGATAAAAATACAGACGAAAACGGAGTCCGTATGAAGGAGTTACAAATTTTTCGCAGTCATTTAACAATCTAATCTCCTCCTACTGTTAAATTTAAGATCGGTCGAGAATTAGCCGACGGAGTCTAAATGAAAGTTATAGATCTTGTTTTTACCTACGCGTGAATATAAAGAACGTCGAAAACAGATCTTGTATGCGAAAGTTACGGGGTTTAGAATTCGGCAGGGTGTTGTGCGAAATCGGGTGACGTGGCTAAATATGGGTCAAGGCTTTCTCCCCAAGGCAAGCCACTAGATGGTGACACCTGGCCATGGACTCGACGAGTAGAGCAGGATTCCAGCCTATAAATAGAGGTGTCGGGTTCCCTCATTCTTCACACCTTCCCAACTTCACTTTCTCTCTCTATTTTCTCTCTCTAAGCCCCCAAATCCCCCACCCCCTAAGCCTAGGTAAACCCCCTAGCACCAGAAGGAAGCCCAGAGGCTCCCGAAGCCCCGAGAAAAGAGCCTTTCGGCCCGGGAATGCTGCTCCGCCGAAGCCCGGTTTTCGAGAAAACCCGCTGTTTTGTCCGAGGGAAATTGTTTTAAGATTAACGAAGCGCTGTCCGAGTACCGAGTCACCACCTTTTCAAGTGAGTGCATAGTTACTTTCATCTTACACATAGATATTAATTATTTTATATAAATTACGTGATATGTGTGCATATTATTTGAATACTTGCTTCCTATGCCGGATGAACGATTTTATACATGTTTTAAATAATTTAAATTGTATATGTATTTTATATCTACGAATATGTTGGGATAAACATGGGTAGATGAATGATGAGAGAGGAAAGATGATATGAGTGAACGTTGGCAGCTACAGACTTAGTGCCTAACAAATAACATCGGCAGCTATGGACTTAGTGACTATCGAATAAACGTTGGTAGTTATGGACTTAGTACCTGTTAGATAAACGTTGGCAGCTATAGACTTAGTGTCTAACAAATAACATCGGCAGCTATGGACTTAGTGTCTATCGAATAAACGTTGGTAGTTATGGACTTAGTACCTGTTAGATAAACGTTGGTAGCTATGGACTTAGT